TATCTTATCTTTTATTAAAATGCTGTTTCATTGAAGAGCATCAATTTCACCCTGTATATCAAGTAACGCAGAAATGTGCAAATAAGCAGGAATCGTGCAAAAGTAACGCAGAATTGTGCAATTGAGTGTATACAACGAGCACCGCGATATGTAAATGGACCAATAATTTTTAATGTACACCAAATTGGAAAAAAAATATTAGCGTATACTGTTGCTGAGACATTATACTTTAAACATCATCAAACTATTTCCATGAAGATCATTCGAGTAAATGACCACCTGACTCTTGTATTTATGACTAATTTCTTGTTTCGCTGATATATTTAAATACAACAACGTACATATTACTTTATGATTTTTTATGTTCGGTGAACCTGAGCCATATACTTTGGACTTCATGCCTATTTCCATTTTTGTGTTGTAATTCATATGCATGGAACTCAATACCAATAACTTTACAGGTTCCAGACAGGTCTATTGACCGTCTCAATACAATGGTGGCTGAATGGGATACCTTAAGGTCTTCCCAAACAAGTAACGCTGGAACGTAGCAATATGACAGTATCAATGTCTGTGTAACTTAAAATCAATTAATCAATCAAACAGACAAATAAATAAAAGCTGTTTCGAGGACAAATAACCTCTGAATTGAAATAGGGAAACACATTGTGATCAACCTAGATCACACAGAATGACAATCATGATTGTTATACTTTTCATACGACTTGGTAATGTTTGACAATATTGACCTGATACATTTATATATTCAATAACATTTTGTCGGTAATTATCGGATTCCGAATTAAATCATACGGGTTTTTTTAAGTATGACATAACGATATATATGGTTTTGTTACCAACAAAACACTTGTCTAATTAGCCTCAGTGATTAGCGTTAAGAATCTAAAGTCTAACTGACGGTTTGTAAGTTCGACTACGAATAATGTGTTTTGTTTACCATACACTAAAATTAGTATGAAAATATAGCATCTATAGATCAGGTTAAAATTGTTTCATCTTGAATTGAAGTTCACTCGTAATAAAGATTGTTTTTTTATACTTATACTGTAAAATTAATTGAAAATAAATCAAAGCAAAGTTCATCATGCAAATTCGAATAAAAGCTTGATTGACTGTTAGACGCATCTGGGAAAGATAGTTAAAATAGATGTTGGGTTCGTATTGACTTCGTATAGTTTATGACTTACATTAGACCACTGGCTATGCAATATGTTCATGTTATTTTTTTAAGTTACTGATCGCTGGTCATAGACGCATACGAAAAGTATTAGAATCTGAACTGTTACGTCGCTGATCGTAGAGCCGTATAGTATTAGTCTACATCACCATTGTCGCTAGATGTAGATGTGGTCGTTATGTTAATTCTTCGCAGGCAAGCAAGTAAAGGTAGGAAGGCCCTCTTCCATGATGCGCGCATCTTTTGAGAGCCACATCCTCCGCCGTTAGTTAGGTCACACCAGTAAAATGACATAACTATGTCTAACGTCTGGTGTGACCTATGCACTCCGAGGGACGTGCACGCCGCAAAGGTATGTCGGAGTAAGAAATAGAGTATCGAGAACTTTCTAATCATTAAAATTCAATTAGTTAATCGTAATAAATTAATTAATTGTTGCCAAACAATATAATAAATTTTTAATCGATACTTAATTATAATTTATTACTCCGAGACATTTTAAGCTCCTCTCATCATAACGCTTACATAAAATCAATTAAGATATTAATACAAAAAATCAATATTGCATTTTTCTTACTGAAACGTCATACCACGAGGTCACGTCAGGGACTTTTGATTTTTTTTTAATGTGAGGAAGCTATCCAGCTACCTTAGATAACTTTGGTGGTTCTACTCAGGTACCTTTGTTCGTGCCTGAAATAATGCAAGGAAGGGCACATGAGGTCTTCCGCCTCTAGTAAAGCTAGAAAGTCAACATATGACTTATACTGTGTTTATGCAACGTAAAACCCAACCAAAAGAAGAACAAAAATGAAAGAATAAAGATCTAACTAACATGCTATACTATGCGGATATGAGCATCTCCTGTAAAGTGAGCTCAAGTCATAAATGAATATTTGCATACAAAGGTAAAATTTCAAAAATAATTAGTACACTTTGCTTTACAAATATCAACATAAATATATTTATTACATAACACATAAGTACCTTTTTATTCATTATAACGATCAAATGGAAGTTTTTTTTAACATTTACACCATGATCTTAATAATATACATTGTTATTTTGTATTAATGTATTGTATAGTTAACATACCTTCTTCTTGAAGTTAGATGACATGCTCTTAATTACATTTACTGTTTGACATATTGTCAATCATGACGAGACATGGAGAATGAGAATCCTTTCCACCTTGCAAAATGTTTAATAATTTAAAACAAAATACAAAATCAACAACAACAACAACGAACATTTCTTGAAACACAATACAACATAATTGTACGCAAATTGCCAATGAGTTTTATTCTACATCCGAGTAAAACTTAACGTAGTTCGATAAAAATTGAAGCATGGAGAGAAAATTGAATCATTTTTATAAAAGTGTTAAAGACCGTTATTTCATCTTAATAAAATTGAATATTGTTGGATGGGTGTTCAGTATAAAATTTTTAATTCTTTCATTACTTTGATTCGTACGTTTCCGTTAAACTCTCTATTAAAAAAAACTCCGCTGAGGTCAGAAGTTTAGAAACTTGAGGTTTGAAATTCTTGCATAGATCAATTAATATTCAAATTGAAAATTGTGCAAAACAATAGAAATAAATAAATACAGAGTTATATTGAAAATCGAGTTTTGCATGGCCTTTTATTTTGCTCAATAAAATACTTATTCTGGGAAAACGGTTGAGGGACTGAACTGACAATTTCATACAAGTTACTAGTCCATCTATACTTTAATCAAAAGGTATGCACGTTTCGAAAACAATTTGTCAAATCTCTTGAAGTTGAAAAACTCAGTGGCGTTCCTGTAATACTTTAGACACATAAACTATTTGTATATTCCAGGATAAAAGCAAAATGCATTATAACATGAATGTCAAGTGTTATTGTCAAGTAAGGTGTTTTGTGTGCTTCTCTATGTTTATCTGTGCTGTAACATCCCATAGTATGAATGATTCAAAGAAATTGCTTCATGATGATAAAATGCTTACATACGAGAAGACTTTTAGACCACTAGAGGTATTTATTGGTTTTGAACTTGTTTTAATTCAAGAATTCAACGAGGTAAAGGAAAAACTTTCAGTAGCTACATTTATAAGAGCTCATTGGATAGACGAATATATGGCATGGGATCCGGCAGATTATGGAGGTCTTGATCAATTAGTCATCGAAAGCGACAATGTTTGGACACCGAATTTAGCTTTAGTAAATACTGTTGAAAAACTGGAGAAGATAGGTGATGCTTGGCAACTTATTCGCTTTACACCGAACGAATTTGCTCATTATTTTCCTGGAGACGTTTTATCTGCGACATGTCAAGTTGATGTTACTTACTATCCCTGGGACAGACATAAATGTAGTTTTTCTTTTGCCCCATAGGCACAGAGTGAAACCGAAATAATCTTTAGTCCTTTTGGAGATAAAGTGTTTACAACATACTTTTCAGAAAATGGGATATGGCATTTTTACAATTCGAGCATTGAGTATACTCCAGGGAGCGTCTTTATAGATTTCATTCTTTACCTCAAACGGAAACCTTTGTTTGTTCTCCTAAATGTCGTTTTGCCTAAAATATTTATGGATTTTTTAAATACAGCGGTGTTCGCTATTCCAGTGGAAAGTGGTGAACGGATTTCTTACAGCATCACGGTTCTCCTAGCACTTGCTGTTTTTATTACCTTCGTTGGTGACAACCTCCCCAAAACATCAAGTCCTATGTCTTTGTTCGGATATTACCTATTGATAGTTCTTATCATAAGCATGGGTATCACACTTGCAACAATATTCAATATGCGTTTATATCACAAAGATGAAAACATACCTATTCCTGACTGGATTGTACGCTTTGTTATGTGTTTAAAATGTGAATGTAGAAATGTAGCAAACAAACGTAAGTGCAGTTCATTAGAATGCAAAAAGGAAACAATGGACACAGAACGCGAACATCGTTCGAAGAAAGAAAATGCCGAAGATAGTTTTAATGGAAGAAAAACAAAGTTAAAAAATAAAAATGATTCGCAAATAATATGGTCGGATGTCAGTTCTGCGTTCGATAAGATTTTCTTTGTCTTTTGCTTTATTACAGTATCGGTGGCAACCATTTGGTTTTTCATAAAAGTTTCCGGAAACAACGAAAATGACTTTCATGATTAAAATAAAGAAAAAAGAAAGAAAGGAAAAAAAACCCCATAACCCAACAAATATATACTTGCATAAATAAATTAATTATCTAAGCTAACATTACCATGATCTTTATACACATATACAACCAAGCGTCGCTGGAGGAATTATGCCCTATGCAATATAACCATGCGGAAATATTATATTAATATTATATAAAACAATAATATTGTTGGACAAAGTATATAATTGCTATTATACCATCGTTGTTTTAGTGTAGTTTGATATTTCTTTTCTATCGTTAATTGTATATCAACAACAAAATGTTTACTGTTGATACAGTATCAAACAGTGGTTATTCAAACTAGGACGACTCTGAGAAACAGTTACGTTTCTTACTCTGGAATATACAGGGTATCAAAAATAAACTAAATGATTGTGACTTTTTAAACTATATTTCTGATTTTGATATACTATTTATTACAGAGACATGGCATTCTTATTTGTCTAATATCAAAATCGATGGATATGAAATTTTTAGCTGTCCAAGACCTAAATTTAATAATAAAGGAAAACGGAATAGCGGCGGTGTCGCAATTTATTATAGGGATTATTTGAAAAATTGTATAGAGCTGCTTAATATTGATGAAAAGGGTCTTGTATGCTTTAAAATAAATAAAACGTTTATCAACTCTGAAAAAGATGCTTATTTTTGTGAATGCTATATTCCACCTGAAGATTCTAACCTTTATAGAAATAGAAATTCATCATTGTTCGAATTTGACTTTTTTGAACACTTAAATACTTGTATTCGCCGATATAGTGACCTTGGAGATGTGTACGTGTCAGGTGACCTGAATTCACGCACGGGTGATTTATTAGACTATATACCAAACATTAATCTGGATCGTTTTATTGATCTACCGCAGACAGCATCGCACGGGTTTAATTTGCCAGTGCGTCGTAATCATGACCGTTCCATTAACAATTACGGATCAAAATTATTGACTCTTTGTAAAGAAAACGATATGTGTATAATAAACGGTAGATTAGAAGAGGGTAAATGCACCTATAATACTTTATACAAAAAAAGGCCCGTTTCTAGTTTAGTTGATTATTTAATAACAGGTATTGAATGTTATGATAAGGTAAAATATATGTATGTTTTAGATGAAAATGAATTTTCTGATCATTGTGCTGTAACATTTACTTTGAAATGTAACATTAGTGTACCAAATATTTATTTGGTTGATTATGATAAAGTTGTTTGGAATGCTGCTGACAAAAATGATTTTTTAAATACAGTTAAAAGTGAGGAACACATTTTTAAAAATATAAACGATAAACTTGTGTCAGGTGAATGTGATATAAATGAATGTATGTCTATCTTTTCGAATACAGTGCACACTATTTCAATGAAATGTTTTGGTAAATCTTTGAGTAATAGACCAAAGCCATGTATAAAGAAGAAAGCACTTTGGTTTAATAGTGATTGTAAAAAGGTAAAGTCTGGATTTTATGCTGCCAAGCGCCGTTTCTATGAAAATAGGACTGATGAAAATAAGTTATTGTTTTTGGAATGCAGACAATCATTTTTGAAAACAAAGCGTAAAGCCAAATTTTTGTTTTATCAGAAGGAAAAAATAAAGCTGTCTAATATGAGCAAAACCGCTCCTCGAAAGTTCTGGAAATACATTAATAAATTTAAGAACAACAATAATTCCAAGATTCCTATTAATCTAGAGGATTTTAAAAAACATTTTGAAAATGTTTCAAATGAAAATCATTATCAATTCAATATAAATAATTTTATGACTTCTAGGGATAATGATGTGTATATTGATGATCTTGATAAATCTATTTCTGTGGATGAAGTAAGTAAAACTATATCTATGTTAAACCGTTATAAAAGCTGTGACTACGAAAATAATGTGGCAGATTTCTTTATTGACTGTAGAGAATTTATTTCTCCTTATCTTTGTACAATATTTAACCATATATTTGACAACTGTGTATACCCAAATTCCTGGTCAAAAGGAGTTATTATACCAATCTATAAAAAAGGTGACAAAGGGGTCCCTTCGAATTATAGAGGTATTACATTGGTAAATACAATTGGTAAAATTTTCTCCTTATTGTTAAGGAACCGTATTAACAATTGGTGTGAAAAGAATGATGTATTAAGTGACTCTCAATATGGATTCAGAGATGGCCGTTCTACAACTGATGCAATTTTTTTACTACATGCAATCATCCAGAAGATCTTATACAAAAAATCTAAACTTTGGTGTGTTTTTGTTGACTACCAAAGAGCTTTTGACTCCGTTAACAGGGATGCATTATGGGTAAAACTTATTCAAGCCGGAATTAGTTGTAAAATGACCAATATGATGAAATGTATTTATAATGATGTACAATCTTGTGTTAAAATATCTAGTACTATGCAGTTGTCTGAATTTTTCGATGTCTCGATCGGTCTGAAGCAAGGAGAGCCATTATCTCCCTTACTTTTCATTCTTTTCGTAAACGATATTATCGATAGTATAGACTTTAATACTTTAACTGATAAAGATTTGGAATTGTTATCTATGTATATTATATTGTTTGCTGACGACATTATATTGTTTACTACGAATCCTGTTAGTCTACAGTCACAAATAGATAATATTTTTCATTATTCAGAAAAAATTGGGGTCTTAAAAAATTAATGTAAATAAAACCAAAATATGTGTTTTTGAAAAGCGCAGATCTAATGATGTAAATATAGATTTTTATATTAACGGTGAGAAAATTGAGTAAGTAGATAACTTTACTTACTTAGGCATTAATTTTATGTAAACAGGTAATATGACACATGCAGTAAAGGCGCTACATGATCAAGCATTAAGAGCATACCACAATCTGATGCTTCTATTTGACAAAGTGAAATTTGATGTTAAAACTAAATTATTATTATTTGATACAATGGTGGTGCCAATACTTTTATATGGTTCAGAGATTTGGGGGGTATATAACTATAAAGAAGTGGACAAATTACATATCAGATTTTGTAAGCATGTTCTAGGTGTAAAACAACAAACCCCTAACTATGCGGTACTGGGTGAACTGGGTAGATTACCGTTATCTGTTACCTGTAAAGAACGATCTTTAAATTTTTGGCTAAAAATTATGAAAAATGTTTCTTCTCCCATTTATGTTATGTATAGAGATCTTATTGACCACAATATTAATAGCTGCTGGGCTTCTCGTATACATTCTATTATTGATCATCTTGGATTTGCTCATATACGATTTAACTTTGATGACAGTTGTAAATATTTACCAATGTTTAAGAATCGTTTACGCGATCAATTTTTACAAGATTGGTCAGCATCAATACGATCTATGCCTAAACTTGAATATTATTGCAATTTCAAAAAGGAGTTTAAATTTGAAAACTATCTTAATGTAATTGAAAATGACGCTCTTAGAAACTGTTTAGCTCGTTTTAGATTAAGCTCGCACAATTTAGAAATTGAAACAGGTCGTTATAGTGGCATAGTTAGAGAAAACCGATTGTGTAAAATGTGCAACCAAAATGTAATTGAAAATGAATATCATTTAATGTTTTGTTGTGGTAGATATAGAAATCTTAGAATTAAATATCATTGTAATGTATCTTGGCCTAATAAGAATATTGTTAATAGTTATATGTCAACTAAGAACAAGAAAAAATATGTAATATTGCTAAATACATTAAAGATGCTTTTACGTTAAGAAACAATACCCTGGAAAATATTACTGTTTCTTAAATGGTTGAAATATTAATTTTTGTAACACTTAATATGATGTTTGTATGCTTTTGTATATATTATACAATATGTCTGTCTTTGCCATATATGTTTATTGTAAATATGGCCCAAGACATTTTACATGTCGATAGCCAATAAATTTTGAAACCTTGAAACCTTTGTTAATGTTTAAGAGGTAATAAAAATTACATGTTTAATAGCGAATTTGCCGTTTTGTAAAACCTTCATAGTTTGAATCATAGTATAATAAAAAAGTATCGAATTTTACACATGTTTTGTTATAACTGACACACTTAATTATATGATCAATTACTTGGTTCGTTAAATATGTTTTTAATGCAATGACGATGGAGTTGTTTTTTTTACGTAATGTATTAACGTTACTATTAACTATATAAATATAATCATACATTGTTAAATCAGACTGATAGACATTTCTTAAATATGAAAACAAAAATCAACAAGGAA